AACCTTCAGAACACGGCCAAAGAGCCCGAAAAACGCACAACAACCAATCTGTGTTGTCCTCCAGTCTTAAAAAATTATTCTGAATTTGAAGATTCTTTTTAGGCACAGTTTGTGCACTGTTGCCATATGGCTACTGAGAAAAACAGATCAAACACTGTTCTTCCAAGATCTAGAATCTGCTTCTTGAAACGAATCCCAACAAAGCTAATCTTCAGCTTCATGGTAACACCCCTCACTGAATATCCACACATTCTTGGACTTTCTGTTTTGTTTGTCTGGTGGCTACATTTGTGATGAAATCTTGGTTTTTCAGTGAGATACAGAGAATTCAGTGAGTGAGACAGAGAGTGAGTGAGTGAGATACAGAGAATTCAGAGTTAGGTGAATTTTTTTTTTTAGTCAGTGAAGCTGTGGCATCAGAAGGAAGAAGGGATGAGCAAAGAGCAGGTCTGATAATTAAAATGAACCTCAAATGAAATGTTATATATTTACGAACACACTTCAGGTTACATAATGGTTTTCAACTACAGTACAGTATATGCTTCTCCAGAGCCAGGCAAAAACACTTCAATAAGTGTAATTCAACAAAACCTGGTGTTCCATGACATTTAACACGAGAACATTCTTTGTACAAACACATCAGAACATTTACAAATGTCACCACTGGCAGATACATAGAAATTAATAGATAGATAGATAGATAGATAGATAGATAGATAGATAGATAGATAGATAGATAGATAGATAGATAGATAGATAGACAGACAGACAGACAGACAGACAGACAGACAGACAGACAGACAGACAGACAGACAGACAGACAGACAGACAGACAGACAGATAGATAGATAGATAGATAGATAGATAGATAGATAGATAGATAGATAGATAGATAGATAGATAGATAGATAGATAGATAGATAGATAGATAGATAGATAGATAGAGTGGATGCAAGTGCATTCGAACCCAGGGTCACACAGTAAAGCAAAACGGAGGAAGAACAGATGGAATAAATTGTTTCTTCCCACTATGTGTAGTTAGATTATAAATTCAAGAGCACAATATGTTGTGAATGAGTTGTGATTTCTAGGGATGGGATTTTTGATTTTTGGTTTTTTTAACTACAGCATCCATAAGTCTGTTGCAATTGCTCCAGCTAAAATTCTGGGGGATTTAGCTCCGTCCCCTTCCAAAGCCTTATCAGTCAATTTTATATGGGCTGCATGATATATACACACCCAGATCTTGAATACTCATCGCCGGTGATGCTGGCCGGGAGATTCTGGGAACAATGGTTCCCCCTAATTTCTGAGGGCACCCCACAACATTTCCTATGTGCTCCAGCTCTTTAAGGAGCTAAAGGGAAAATCTTTACACTCCCAAACACACACCCAAGAGTGGTGAAAACAGAACTAGTACCGGCCCATGAAATACAGTGTGCCTTGTTTTCTTCCATCTTTTGGGTCCTTATGTCCCAGTGTTACTGATGCATTATTCTCGACAGCTAAGCACTTAATCAATTTAATGCTGGTAGCAAACTGTTCCATCTTCAGATTATCCATTTGTGGCTGAAAGTAAAGTACCTTCTGTTTTTCTTTCTCACGGCGCTTGCATGTTTGATGGAAGATGCTACAATTAGTCACTGTCACGGGTATTTTGGCTGGTGCAAGAAGACATTTTGGCTTCAACATGAATTTTTATTGGGAGAAAAATAAACAGCTGAAGGGCTGCATAACAGCCTGCTACACTGAGTTCTTCATAATCCATTCAGCAGCTTAACAAAGGCCATTGTACCCCAAGGCACAGCTCCCGAACCTGTTGATAATGCAAAGAATTCAACCCTTGCGGCGTATATGCACACACACATGCCAGTTTCTTACACCCTATCACACTCTGGTGTAATCAACACACAGTATGGGGCTATCCATGTGCCTAGTGCTGCAACTTTACAAAGAGGAGCAAGTTAGAGAATAAAATCTGCCTAATTGGTAAGAGAAAGAGGTGGTCTCTATTACACTGAAGGATTGGTATATACTAGAACTCTTTGAATACCATCTGCTTTGATTCGGTCCAAATTGTCCTGAAAATCACAACCAACTCTCTTTGAGCTGATTTGTAACCTGTATTATCTGATTTGTACCCAACAATTTTAAAGGGTGCGGACATGTTTGTATTTGAATAATGAAGAAACAAGAAAAGGAGTGTGTGGATGTCTGACCTGGGATGAGAGGGGACACCCAGTTCCATCAACTACTGCTTGACCTCCAATGCACAGACAAAGCTCCCACCAGTTTTCTTCCTTCTCTTCTGTCCCCTCCACCTGGAACTGGGTGAGTTAGGTAGTTCAGGTTCCAGCCTTAATGCTACTTTGACCTAACCCCCTCAAAACCTCCATGATGGCACAGATTTCACACATAAAGGAAGTAAAATCATTTGGAATGGGAGCTACAGCTGCTTCAAAGCAAAGAAGAAATAAACTTCCAATGCACACCCAATCTTCTTTCTGAAAATTAAAGCAACGTGAATATCATCTTCATGAAAATTTCCCACTCACAAAATGGCTCCCAATCATGGAGACAGGAGAATTCCCTCCCAGGATCGCTGTGGTTGGGATTTCCAAGAAAGCTTGAATTTTTCATTGACATTTGAGCTATCTCATTCTGATACAGACTTCCTGGTTCCTCTGTTGCTGTGTTATTTTCATTTTCTGACAAAGGGAGATGCAAAACAGGTTATTTACAACAAATATAGAGATTTGTTATACGCATTGTTATATGCATCACCTGGTAGGACAAAGTTCCAAATAGAGTAGTCCTAGAATGAGCTGGAATTTTTAGCATGTATTCTTTACTGAAACAGCGACGTCTACGTTGGCTTGGGCATGTTGTGAGAATGGCTGATGGTCGGATTCCAAAAGGTCCCCTTTTGGAATCCAACAGGGAAACTGCCCCACAGGGAGACCACAGCTGCGATGCAAGGAGATCTGCAAGCGGGATCTGAAGGCCTTAGGAATGGACCTCAACAGATGGGAAACCCTGACATCTGAACGTTCAGCCTGGAGGCAGGCAGTGCATCATGGCTTCTCCCAACTTGAAGAGACCCCACAGCAGGCTTATGAGCAATATCTGGCTTGCAGGTCACAGAGTTTCTAGCTTACAGTCTGCACTTATTACTCAATGAAGTCCACAAATTAACAATGAATACTGGCTTTATATTATTGTGAAGAAGACCGCAATCAGTAGAAAACAGGCAGGCCAAGGAACACAGTGTGGGTGGAGGCCCTTCAGGTCACTGGCTGGGGTGGTGGTGGTGGACACAAAACAGAACACTGAGTACATCTTAATAATATAAAAATAAGTCTTATTACTTTTAATAGCAGGAGAGTCACTAACACACATATAGTATATGTGCACAGTCAGTTTTGATTATTAATACAACAGGGTACTCTTTTGTAGTTCCAAATAGAAAGTGCAAAAGTAACAACTGAGCATGTACAGGAACGCATAAATAGCACATCTGCTGAAAGGTAACTCTGTTGGCTGTTAGACAATGTGTTCAGGAAATATTTTATCTATTAGAACACTTCTGTTTGACCTGCCCCAGGGTAGAGAATATTCCTGGTCTACTCAATTATGGACACATCCACATTCCACACATTCTACTTAAATGAATATACATATTTAATTATATTTAAAGGAAGATTTTATATATATATTAATCTTCCATGGAATTCATCAAGTCTATGAGTATTTTGGTCTTCACTCCCTCTGGAACATCACAGTTCAATACTGAATACAAATTACGGTACCTGATTCAGGGCAGACATCTGCTATGCAAAATCCTCAGTTGCAATTTGATTATTCACAGTGGATGGGATGGCACAGCAACCACAGTTTATGTCTGGGAAGAAATCATAAATCAGGTCTTCGGGGGGGGGGGGGGACCTGGGAAATTCCATTTCTTTGAGCAAATAAGGTCAAAAGGAACAGGGAAACCTGGGGGTGTCTGTTGTACTCTGGGAATTCCCTGGCTTCACTATACCCCTTTAATCACAGAGATGGTTGCTTAATTGAATCAGATTGTCCCTGTTTTCCCCGCCTTGAATGGTTCTGGACTGGTCTTTC